GAGTTATAGAGAGAGGTTATATGGAGTAATAGGAGGAGTTATAGAGAGGGGTTATATGGAGTAATAAGAGGAGTTATAATAGAGGTTATATGGAGTAATAGGAGGAGTTATAGAGAGAGGGTATATGGAGTAATAGGAAGAGTTATACAGAGAGACTATATTGGAGTAATAGGAGGAGTTATAGAGAGAGGTCATATGGAGTAATAGGAGGAGTTATAGAGAGAGGTTATATGGAGTAATAGGAGGAATAATAGGGAGAGATTATATGGAGTAAGAGGAGGAGTTATAGAGAGAGGTTATATGGAGTAATAGGAGGAGTTATAGAGAGGTTAAATGGAAAAATGGGAGGAGTTATAGGGAGAGGTTATATGGAGTAATAGGAAGAGTTATTTGGAGAGGTTATATGGAGTAATAGGAAGAGTTATAGAGAGAGCCTATATGGAGTAATAGGAGGAGTTATAGAGAGAGGTTATATGGAGTAATAGGAGGAGTTATAAAAAGAGGTTATATGGAGTAATAGGAGGAGTTCTAGTGAGCGGTAAATGGAGTAATAGGGGCAGTTATAGGGAGAGGGTATATGGAATAATAGGCGGAGTTATAGAGAGAGGTTATACGGAGTAATAGGAGGAGTCATAGGGAGAGGTTATAGGGAGTAATAGGAGGAGTTATAGGGAAAGGCTATATGAAGTAATAGGAGAAGTTATAGGGAGCGGTTATATAGAGTAATAGGGGGAGTGATAGGGTGAGGTTATATGGAGTATTAGAAGCTATAGGGAGAAGTTATATGCAAGCAAATTATTTTAATATTAATCTGTTCATTTTTAAGGTGAATATTGGATTGATCCAAACCAAGGATGCAACAGAGATGCATTCAAAGTGTTCTGCAATTTCACTGCAGGGGGAGAAACATGCCTCTTACCAGACAAAAAGTTTGAGTCGGTCAGTATAATTGTAACAACATGCAACTAGTATACCGTATAAGTAAGGTTAACACAATACAGAAAACATGAATTTCATGGTTTGTCACAGAAAATTTTTGTTTTCAGTATGTTAATTGAAGATAGAAGCTGATGTTATTTGAGCGATTTTGTAAAAACTTTGAAAACATTCTAGCAGAGGAGTGTATACACTGTCATAAGTTTTTAACACAGGTCCGTTAATTCAGCAATGTTAGAATTAAGGTCAATAGATTTTTTTCTTATCTGATCAATTAAAGGGACACTATATTCACCAGAACAACTACAGCTGATTGAATTTCTGGTTCTGGTGAGTAGAATCATTACCTTCAGGCTTTTTGCTGTAAACACTGTATTTTCAGAGAAAATGCAGTGTTTACATTACAGCCTAGTGATAACTTCACTGGCCACTCCTCAGATGGCTGTTAGAGATCCTTCCTGGGTCATGGCTGCCTAAAATGCATCCAAACATTCAGTATCTCCTCTCTCTGCATGCAGACACTGAACTTTCCTCATAGAGTTTTGTTGATTTAATTCATCTCTATGAGGAGATGCTGATTGGCCAGGGCTGTGTTTGAATCATGCTGGCTCTGCCGCTGATCTGCCTCTTTGTCAGTCTCAGCCAATCCTATGGGGAAGCATTGTGATTGGATCAGGCCACCACTTCTGATGATGTTATAAATTGAGCACAATCTTTACATAACAAGGGAAGGCTTGGACAAGCAATAACAAGTATTGTATACCACATGGGAGACCTAAAGGGACACTGTAGGCACTATAACTGCCAGGGTCCCTTATTTCGTTTTTTCACTGCATGGCAAGGCTTAACACTGAATGGAGACACAGTGCCAGAAGACTCCAAGCATTGTAGTCAATTTAATAATATGAAATGTTTACAGTGCCTACAGTGTCCCTTTAATGGAGTGAAAGGGCAGTCAGTTTGAATTTGCCTTAGTGCTCTCTCCTGGAACAGTAGTGCAACACCCTCCTGGTAAAACAGTGAGGCAGGTATGGTGGAGGTAAATGAACATACAAAACACGCTAAAGTGTGGTTAGTCGTAATATATCTAGGTCAGGACCATAGAGTCCAATTTCAATCTAAACAAAGGACCATGTGTCTTAAGAAAAGAGTCTGTTTTCCAAGCTCCTCAACAAGTCATGTAATTTCTGCTTGGTTGGCATTGGATAACATGGGGCAGCAGTTTCATGTGGCAGCCATACAAAGGTGGGGAAACTCCATAACAGTTTTATTTGTAGATATTTGAGTTTAAAATGACTGATTCCTTGTCTTTTCTCCACAGTTCACTGCTTAGAGAATAACTCTGAATTGCCTTTCCAGAATACAGTTAAAACCACATGAGTTTTAAAAATGATTTGGGGAGGAAGAGACAAAAGGGTTCTTCCCAATGTTGTCACTAAGTTTTAGGCCAACCACCAATGGCTAAAGTGGCTGTCACTAACCTTAACAAGTGGATGCCAGCATGTACCAGTACCAGATGAAGGGGGGTGAATCGGGAACAGGTCCATAAATCTGTCCATAGTCCATATTGTAGGTACCAGGAGGCAATAATACAGTGGTAAATACATAAAATGTGCCAGCCAGCTGTATTTGACATGCTCCGATCATTGCATAAGAGCCCTTGAATGGCCACAAATGCCCAGCAGCAGGCTTGGGCTGCATTTAACAGTAATCACTAGACATTCCAAATTAGGACTGTGACACATTATCCAGGACTGTTGGTAGGAATGTGGCTGGGCCAATATTGCAGAATAAGGGGGAAAATATTATATATGAAGCCTAATGTGAGGTGTAACGTGTTCAGGACTGAATCAGATTTTTTAGAACTTGTGTACTTTTTTTATTATTATTATTTTATGTAAGGATACAGTACTTTGCTGCATAACTTTTCTACAGATAAATACGAAATAAATATCATTAAACATTTTTATATCAAGGTGAAAGTGGCAGCATGGAACAAAGAAATCCCCGGAGAATGGTACAGCTCATTTAAACGAGGCAAAAAGGTAAACTTATTTTATTTATTTATTTATTTTTATTTTGTTTTCATATTCTGAACAGGTTCAGTTAATAAAAAAAAAAAGCTATTAGGTATTGAATTTGGAGCAAAATAAATGTCTGTTTTATTTTGTCATTTTTACGGATTTTTTTCACATGTTTTCTGTAAACTGTAAAGACTAAAAAAAAATGAAATTTTTATTTTGTCTTGAACGAGTATGCCACTTTTTCACAAAATAACTGTTTGCCACGTGTTTAGTAGTGGGTTGCATAAAGTTCCATATTGCAGAACTTTGAAATATTCTTGCACTTAATTAAATAAAAAATTACTGTTAATGTAACACTGTTTTCTGTTAATTTTTCGCAGTTCCAGTACATAGATGCAGATGGAAATCCAGTTCATATAGTCCAGATGACCTTCCTCAAACTTTTAAGTGCCACAGGTCGACAAAACTTTACCTATAATTGTCAGCAATCTGCTGCATGGTATGATAT